CTGGGCTGGAGACAACATGCTCTTTTCTGTGTTTATTACAAAACCCAGGTCGAGCAGGTGTTTTACGAGGACATTCGTCTGCGTAATAGCCTCTTGCTCCGACTGTGCGAGAAGGAGCCAATCGTCCAGATAAGTTGCCAGACGAATACCCTGTTGTCTTAACGGGGCTATCGCGGCTTCCGTACACCGTACAAACACTCGTGGGCTGAGAGACAGACCGAAGGGAAGTACTCTGTACTCGTAACAGACACCCTGAAAGGCGAACCTCAGATATTTCCTGTGTGGATAATATGGGAGTGGCTATATACAGGACCGTCCTGTACACAACGCCAAATGGCTATATACAGGACCGTCCTGTAAACAGCTCTCTGAAATGGCTATATACAGGACGGTCCTGTATATAGCCATTTCGGAGCTTGTATACAGGACGGTCCTGTATATAGCCATTTCAGAGACCTTATATACAGGACCGTCCTGTATATAGCCATTTCAGAGACCTTATATACAGGACCGTCCTGTATATAGCCATTTCAGGGCTTCTGTGCAGGACCGTCCTGTATATAGCCATTTCAGAGAGCTGTGTACAGGACGGTCCTGTATATAGCCATTTGGCGTTGTGTACAGGACCGTCCTGTATATAGCCTCGGCCGGATAATATACTGGGATGTGGAAATACGCGTCTTTCAGGTCGACTGATGTGAACCAATCGTTTTGGCGCACGAGACGCAACAGAGATGTGTGAGTGAGCATTCTGAATTTGTATCTTTTGAGATATTTGTTCAGAGCCCTATAGGCCGAATCCCGTTCCCTCCCCGTTTGGGAACGAGGAAATACTTGGAATAAAAGCCGCTCTGACTCTGTTCGGAGGGTATTATAGATAGCCTTCTTGTCTAGTAAAGAGAGGATCTCTTGCTCTAGAATATGGGCCGACTCTCCCCGGGCTTGCGAATGCAGAATGCCCGAAAAGTGAGGGGGGGGTGACGGCGAATTCGAGTCTGTAACCCCGTGTTACTGTCTTGAAAACCCAAGCAGAATCTGTGAGCATCCTCCACTTTTCGCTTCTCAAAGCGAGTGGAAATGTCACATCCCTGTTGTCTGCCCTCAGTGTCTCTATTTGTTGTGTTATGGGGCCCTCTAGTGTCTGAACACGGTGGTACCCCAGGTTGACAACCCCGGTCGACACTGCGCATGCGCGTGGCGGTGATGCCTTCACAGCCCCGTCCATCGTCCGCCTTCTGAGAGAGGTAGCAGCCACTCTTAGAAGGGGGTAGTAGACGTCAGACTGTTTATTGTTTTTATTGTCTTTCTTTTCATTTTTATTGACTGCGCCCTTGGCTTTAAGCCTGGAGAACGACAGTGGAAAATAATTTATTAAAAGACAATAGTGATGACATGTGTTTATGTGACTTAAACGAGCAGCGGAGCTTGCTGTCGTTGATGTTAAGTCCATTTCCCTCATGGTGCGAACTTGAGGATGACGTTCTGACATCACTCGAGGCGGCGGGAAGATGGGGGCATGGTTGCACCCCGGAAACACATGAGCATCTAACACTGGAACGTGTTCTGGAGCTGGAGAACAGGGAACTTCCAGCTCCTTTATCGAGGAGAGGAGGCTGTCAGGCCGCCCTCTTCTTCTTCCTCGTCTGGTGGCGGAAAGTCTGGACCGGCTGTGCCTGTGCGGCTACTGCCGGAACCGGAGACTTTCTTGGCCAGCTCGTCCTCGCCTCGTGTCTGGGCTGGAGACCCTGGGCGGACTGTGGCCTCTGCTGTGGCCTCTGCTGTATCAGGATCTTGAAACGGTCAGGACGTGAGGCAGCCTGAGCGAAGGACTGCCGCGGGGCAGTTGAAGGCGGCGGCTGGACCCTTCGGGGAAGACAAAGCTGGAGAGCCTCATCCTCCTTCTTTTTGGATTCACACCGCTGCTGCATCGAAGCTAGAGCGGAGCCAAATATGCCCTCGGGAACAATAGGTATGTCCAAGACGTCCTCTTTTTTCCGGTCTGGAAGGTTCGTCAGGGTAAGCCACCTGGCTCTCTCCTGTACCGCCATTATCCCCAGTGCTTTGCCCGTGGCTTGGACTGCACAGCGCTGCACACGGAGGCAAATGTCCGTGATCGCTGCGATTTCGTCCCACACGGCAGGCTCAGGTTTGATCGTCATGTCCTCGCAGAGCTCCGCCAGCTCCGTCAGCAGCGAGGAGACGTTGAGCGCCCTGGCGGACAAAGCTGCGGCTTTATAGGCTCGTTCGGTCATTGCTGACTGGAAGCGGTCTGCCTTTGCCGGTAGCGTTGGGTTCCTGCTTGTGCCGAAGCCAGCCGCGGTTGGAGGTGGGCTGCCACCAGCGGTTGCATGGGCGGCATGCGGAGAAGGCCGAGCTTCTCCATGCCGACACAGTCCAAAGAGGAGGCACCCTGGATTGGGGCCTTGTTGCTGAAAGGGCGGTCTCTCCACGAGACCGACACCTCGTCCAGCATCTCTGGAAAGACTGGGAGAAGCTGCTTTCTCATCCTCGCTGCTTGGGGCAAGTTCTTCCCCTCATAGCGAGATGTGGAGGTCTCCTTGGCCACTTCAGGCCAGGGGATGTCCAGCCCGGACGCAGCGCGTTGGCACACGGCCTGCAAGTCCATACTGAGGCAGGGCGAAGCAGGTGTGCTTTCACCCGGGGGAGCGGACATCGCCTCCGGCTTGGCAGCCTGGGCAGATGAAACGAAGATGTCATCTTCGTGCTCATCCGAGTCGGATAAGAGGAACTCAGAGGCATCCTCTTCATCCTCCTCCATATAATCCAGCTGTAGGACATCCTCCGCGGGTGGAACCACGGTGAGGTCCAGTTGGGAGCCCCAGCTTGACACAGCGCGGGGCTCCGCTCTCGCGGCTCTTGCCGCCACCGGGCCCCAGCCTGACACAGCGCGGGGCTCCGATTCCGCGGCGACCGCCGTTGTTGAGCCCCAGCCTGACACAGCGCGGGGCTCAATCTCCGCGGCGGTCGCCACCATGTCCCGATTGCCGGCCGGCGAATCAACGGACATGAAGGGGTCCCGTCCCGACAGGCTAGCTTGGCGCGCTAGCCGTCGGCGGAGACTCTTGATGGTGAAGCGGGCACAATGCCCGCACGAACCGGGGGTATCGATAGCTTCCTGGGCATGTTCCAGCCCAAGGCAGGACGAGCAGACCTGGTGTGAGTCCGTGCCCGAGATCCTAAACCCGCAGCCGCAGAGCCGGGCCTCCGAGCCTCCGACTCCTCTGGTGTGAGGGAGAGAAGGGTCCATCCTTGTTTGCCGGGGTGTCGGCGCGGAGGGACAAGCTAGTAACAGGTATGTTACCGAAAAAAATCCAACCTTATCGTTATTCCGAAAGGAAAAAACGACGGGGTAGATTTTTCTTTAAAAAATATTAACTGGTGTGTTAATATCTTTCTTATCTCCGTCTCCTCTGGTGTGAGGGAGAGAAGAGTCCGTCCCCGCTCGCCGTGGTGTTGGCTCGGAGGGATAAACTAGCAACAGGTATGTTACCGTTTGAAGAAAAAAATCAAACCTTACCGTTATTTCGAAAGAAAAAACGGCGGGGCAAATTACAATATTAACTGGTGTGTTAATATTTGTTCAATTCTTCTGCAAAGCAAAAAAGTAACCGGCAAGCGCCCGTCGACCGAATGTTAGCTTGGGTTCAGTCTGTGGACCGTTAAACTAGCCCGGCTACTGATATTCGAGATGTGCTCTGAAGAGGTGTTTGAATGACGCTGCGACGTAGCGCAAGCTACTTAAAGGGTGGGTGGATTCCCTGACGTAGACGTCAAGATCACCAGCCAATCAGGATTGGCGTAATGAGATTGATGCTTCTGTTTGCATACGCGTTGAGGCGCATCCCATAGTGAGACATCGAACGGAGTGTTATGAATGAGAACTGTGAAAAAGTACTCGCTAGCCGGAACTACGCCTAGTGGAAACGCAACCAAAAACGGGCCGGGCACGGCACGCTTAAACCGCGCTCCGCGACGTAGTGGAAATGCGCCATTAGAGGAACGCGGATTTTGGGTCCTTAGCTTAAAAAAAAAAAAAAAGAGGAGACGAAGCTAATGCCTGATCTGAAATCTACCGGAGATAAAGTTAAATTCTGCTGTGATAAAACGCCATCCTGTTCTAAACCACATCAACGATTATTTCTGAAACAGCATGGAGCTCAAATGCTTTTTCTCTTGCGGGTTTATCACATGGTCAGTTCCTTTTTTTATTTCCTGCTTTTTAAATACATGTGCTCTGAGTGTTAGCGAGGCTTGCTAATGTAAACAAAGACGAGATTACGTCCAAAACACGTCAGGCATTGTTTCTGATGGCAACTTTCTGTGGGTCCACCATCCGAAATTACGTCATATCGGCAGGAAAATCTGTATCCGCTCGTTGTACCCCCGTTTTTTAAGGATTTGGGTACAGAGGAAAAGAGAAAGGGTTTTATTTTCTGACTGCGGGAGTTCCCTGACACATATATTTATGTATGAAATACATCAAAAAGTGCATTTTGCATGTCCCCTTTAAGTGATTGTTGTGGTGACCACCTTTAATACACTGGGTTACATAATCCACACATGGAACTAGAGTTGGGGGTATTGTTTCCACACAGACATATATGTGGTTACCTTTATATGTTGTGTGCCCTCCTGGCTCTTTCTCTTGTTGTCCCGGGCTGCGACCCGACAACACCTGCATTTCTGCTGCTCATTAAAGACAGTTTTGCACCTTCGATGCACCGCCTCCGACTCCCTTTCTAATTTTTTTATTTTAAATTAAATAAAAAAATGTAATCCCCTTTAACTCTCTAGGCCTACTTCCATTTTGAAGGATTACTTGCCCTGGTGGAGATTATGTTGAAATGTTTTGTCCTGTAAAAGTCAGAGCTCATACTGTATAAAATAATGCACATCTTTCATAGCTTTCACAGCAGATGGGGCAAAGAGCTGGTGTGAAAATATTGCGCTTATTTTGGCTGACAGTCATTTCCTTTACAGCTAAAAGGAAATTGCCTGTTTCAGGAAACAGACTGTGAGCTGTCTTGCAAATGAACTTGCACCATCATGTCAGAGGATCCAAGTAGAATAACAGCCATGGAGGTGGACACTGCGTTTATCAAATCCAAGAAGGGCATCCTGAAAGTAGCAGAGATGGTGAGACAGATCGCACATCACCATGAGGTTAAAAGTTTCATGGTTGGCAACATAAGTAAGGAACTAAAATATAACCTGTCCTGCACGCTTTAAAGGGGAAGCAGATACAGCATGTGAAGAAATAACAGCATTTAACAAATCTGCTCTATAGAGTGTTTAACAACTATTTACCAGTCTGTTTATCATTGTAGGTTTTCTGCCATGTCTCTACCACTTTAGTTTGACCATCTCTGTTATTAAGTTATGAAATACATAAATAAATAAGTAATTTGATACCTTACCGTTACTGCGCTCTTAAAGAATGATAAGAATAATGCGTATTGAACTGGTTTAATTAATTAGTGAGTTTATTTAAGGTAATTAGTTAGAGGCCCTATGTTATCAGTTTGTCTGGACTGTACACTGTAAAATGTTTGGCTGTAAAATTACAGTAAATTACTGGCTACTAGTTGCATATTTCACAGTAATTGACTGTAAATATTTCACAGTAATTTACTGTAGATATTTTACAGCAAATTAGAATAAACGTACAATTAAATACTGTGACTTTACAGTTGCCATGCCCATGGAATTACTGTGATATAGCAGTACAGAGCTGTGGTATTATGGTACCTTGCTGTACATAAATTACAGTAATTACCTGTATTTTCACACTATTACTGTAGAAGTAATGCAACACAGTAGCCAGTAATTTACTGTAAATATAAAAATGTAAAAATACGATAATATATTGTAAATTTGACTAGTTAACTGGGATTTTACCATGAATCTGCTCAATCAACAAAGAAAAACAATGAAAATGCCCATTTTAACTTTGTATTACTCCATTGAAGTGCAAAGTACATTTCACAGTGTCTTGGACATGTTACGGCCCCAACCTCTACTCCGCGGTAGTGGCTCGTGCTGAGACCCGCAACATGAAAGAATACACGCAATAACCGGTACTTGGTAACATGCATTTATTGATAATCAGCCGTTTGCTCACACAAGCAAAACGGGAAACAAGAAGAGGTCTGGAGGAGTGGCCAAAAGGAACAAACAGAAGGAGGGGCCGTAGGACCCAGAGCTACCCCCCCCCCAACCAGAATTCAATTATAAACCCTATGGGAAACAAAATAAAGCCAAAAACTGTACTACCAGGTCCTCCAGGCTAAACATAAACACATCTGTAAAAATATGGCCTACAGCTCAAAATGGCAAAGAGGTATTCTAAGGAGAGTGTCTCCCGTCGTTAGGATAGGCGAGACATCCTTCTTCTCCAGCTTCTCTTTATATATACACGGCTGAGTGGCATTTGGAACACCTGGGCCGAGGCGGAGCCAGGGGCAGACCAGGTGCACCACTCTAAGTCAAGAATTTTTCTGAAGAATGTGCTGACATGGGGGTTTAAATTGCCATGCCTCTTTTTGGTTTTCGAGCCCGTCTCAGGATTAATGCCCAGGAAGCACCTGAAAACAATAAGCCAAGACAACAATTTCAATTTTACATAGATTTATATGTTGCATCGTTTATTTTAAGGCACATTCAGCGGTGAACCCTTTCAATTGAAGTGAAACCTGCACCAAAGAAAGAAATTAGTATTTAAAGCAAGAGCGATAAAAGCAAGAAAATCACTTAATTTGTTGTGTTATCACAGAGGATGGTCTGAATACAGTATTTTACTGGGAAATAATACAGTAACATGTTGTGAAATCCTGGTAATCATTGATCCTGTACATTCACAGTAATTAACTGTACCTGCATTGAATTCACTGTGAAATTCAAAATTACAGTATTATATTGTGAACATTACAGGTAAAGACTGTAAAGTGGTAAAACAGTAATTTATTGTAAAATATTACAGCTAAATATTGTGAAATCATGGTAATATTTTACAGTGTACAGCAGTTACAATGGTCTGGTAAAACTACATTAGAACAGAATTGTCCCCATTTTGTCTTTAATAGTTAGATAGTTAGATATTTTAATGAGATATGGACCGCAAAACAAAAAATGTCCCTGGTTTTCATTTTTAAAATCAAGTCACCGAATGCAAGTAGTCACCTTAGCTTATTTTGTTATGAGATGTGAATTACTGTTCAATTTAGTTGATGTAATAATAGCTTGGTTTCTTTTACATTAAAACAAGTTACAATTTTTGAAAGACGTCTTATGTTTTTTTTCGGGGGGGAGGCCCTTTTTCCAGTTTAGAGCAATAGCCCCTCCAAATGTCTGTGCACGTCCCTGCAATGAACATTAACAATTCCAAATGCTCTACAACTGATACATTTCCCTGAGCTTACTGTACAATGTGACTCGAAGTGTTGTAAACTGGCATGTTTCAAACTCTGTATTCAAATGTATTTATTGCAATGTATTTCTGATTTGTGTTTGACGATATTTTTTTATTTGATACAAATCTCAATAAGACACAAATATCAATAAAGCCTTTACAAGGGCTAGTTTGTTGATGCAGTGATCAACATTAAAATATAATATTAGCAACTGTATTAGTTACTTGTATTTAAAAATAAATGTGATTAGCCGACACTCAGTTCCTCTTTTTCTATAGGATGTGCAACAGGTCGTATGAAGGAAGAGTAAATCAGCTGATGTTCTGGTTCCTGTTGGAAGTTTAGAATACAAATTATAGATAGAGAATACAAGAGAAATGAAGACACAAGAAATAAACAGTCGACAAATATTTCTGAAATCGAAATAAAATAGCGTAAAAAAGTTAAAAAAAATATGTGGAAAATATACATGATATAAAAATGTCCAGTAATGCGGGATATTATTGTGCAGAATCGTCCTGATACGAAAGCTCAATATTGTGTTTATATTTAAAGAAGTTTTCAAATTGCATTTATTGCAGTTACCATTTTCTAACTGTTGTGTCTCTGTTTCTGCTTTAGGTGACTCTGTTTGTGGCCTTTGTGTGTTTCGCTGTAGCCTCCAGACCAAAGTACATTGCAGCCACAGTGCTGGAGTTTGTTATCACTTCCCTTCTACTGCTGCTCTACCTGTTCAAACTCAACAAGAGGCTGACATTCTTCTTCTGGCCTCTCGTTGTGGGTGATGTTTTACAGCACATAACAATTGAAGTCTACTGTAAGTGTTGCATTTTAAAAGTCATTGTTCTAAAGCTATTTTTGTTTGTGCAGGATGCTTTTAATTCAGTGTTTGCAGCAGTCTACTTTATTGTCTTGAGCCTGTTGGCGGCGACTACCTACACTGTCACAGGCACGCTGGTTGGAGGGGTGAGAAATATATATTCTTTAATCTATAATTGAAATCTCAGTTGTGGGGGTCAAATTTGAAATGGATTTTAGTTTCCCCTCATACATTGGCATCAAAATAATAAATAGCAGATAGCAATCATAACATTGCTTGTTATCTCCATTCATCTTCTGACTAGCCCAATGTACATGACGTTTGATTTTCTCTTTAGTTAGACACACTGAAGTGTTGACAGGAAATATGCATGTCAAATATGCTCTTCATTTCCAGATATTTGGTCTTGTCTTCGCTGGGCTGATGTGTGTGGACAGCTTCGTACTTTTCAAGAACATCACATTCAACCAGCCAAGAAGTGAAATGAATACAGTAAACAATGAACCAGGGACGTGCACAGGTACGGGCTAATGTTGCCCGGGCAATGGCCCGTTTGGCCTTTTTGGCTGACCTGCCCCTCTGGAGAGAGCGAGAGTTTGTTTTAGTTTTTTCTGTTGTGGCCGAATCAACATGATAAGCCCACAATTAGTATTGTAGCGTCTCGCTGCGGGAAACACACTTTGTCAGCGCTGTCATCTGCCTACTTGTTGTTATTGTGCTTCTGTCTTTCTGTGTCTTTTCATCTGTAAACTCCCTCAACGGGGCCGCTCGCTCTCTTTTCTTGATCGCCCTCTCACGGGTGAACAGTTCAATGTCTGTTTATCATTGTAGGATTTCTGCCATGTCTCTACCACTTTAGTTTGACCATCTCTGTTATTAAGTTATGAAATACATAAATAAATAAGTAATTTGATACCTTACCGTTACCGCGCTCTTAAAGAATGATAAGAATAATGCGTATTGAACTGGTTTCATTAATTAGTGAATTCATTTAAGGTAATTAGTTAGAGGCCCTATGTTATCAGTATGTCTGGACTGTACAGCAGTTACAATGGTCTGGTAAAACTACATTAGAACAGAATTGTCCCCATTTTGTCTTTAATAGTTACTAACATTAGATATTTTAATGAGATATGGACCGCAAAACAAAAAATGTCCCTGGTTTTCATTTTTAAAATCAAGTCACCGAATGCAAGTAGTCACCTTAGCTTATTTTGTTATGAGATGTGAATTACTGTTCAATTTAGTTGATGTAATAATAGCTTGGTTTCTTTTACATTAAAAACAAGTTACAATTTTCGAAAGACGTCTTGTGTTTTTTTTCGGGGGGGAGGCACTTTTTCCAGTTTAGAGCAATAGCCCCTCCAAATGTCTGTGCACGTCCCTGCAATGAACATTAACAATTCCAAATGCTCTATAACTGATACATTTCCCTGAGCTTACTGTACAATGTGACTCGAAGTGTTGTAAACTGGCATGTTTCAAACTCTGTATTCAAATGTATTTATTGCAATGTATTTCTGATTTGTGTTTGACGATATTTTTTTATTTGATACAAATCTCAATAAGACACAAATATCAATAAAGCCTTTTCTTTGCCTTCTGATATGAGGAGTTGGATATTTCCACTGAATGGCTGACGATTGTGTTGTATGTGTGCAGCTGGGGGGCATCACATTTCACATCTGGAGAAAGCAGATGTTGCGCTTGTTGGGAACTCGCGCTGCGTTTCCGCGCTGTCATTGTTTCCGTTTCCACCTCCGAGAAGCCTCACGCCTCCACATATATTTTCTTTAGCTTTTGATCCGTTACATTGCGGGTTAGTTTGAACTCTCTGACTGTTGAGGAGAGTTGATATCTCTTTTTATCCAACCATGGGGGACATCGAGACTCCCAGCTCGATTCACCCGCGCCAGACTGTCCTGCTGTCGGTCCTCCCGAGCAAAGAGTTCGCCTCCTCAAGGAAAGGAATGCTGCTTATTGCTGAAGTGGTAAGAAATGGACCAGAGTGATCAGTGGCGTTTTTATATGTACAAAAGTGGTGGGGCACAAACAACTCAGATGTCTATAGCTTCTGCAGTGAGGTTCATGGTTGGTGAGGCTCTGGCATTGGCTCTTCAGGTTTACAAATATTATATTTTGACCTAAATCAAAATATAATATTATTTTCAAAAGCTTTTTTTGTCTGATGCTTCAATTAATTTTAAACAGACAGTTCAACAGAAGGATACCCAAAATATGTAATTGTATCATTTAAATATTGAATTGTTCTCTCTTAGTAAGATCCCATTTTCAATAAAATTGCAGTCTTACCTTGACTTGAAGATGAAGTCCATTTGCCTATCCCTCTGGACAAAAATCTCTATTACTTTTTTGTAAAAGTCCTCCTTATGTTCTTGTAGTTTCAAAAGTCTATCATAAATCTAATCAATAGATTTATGATTCGAAAATTATAAAAGTAGGGTAGACATGTGGATATTATCCGGCTGAACAAAACGTGCATTTATCTAACAGGTTTGTTTCCCACAGATTTTATTTGGAGCTATTTTCTAAAATCTTATGGAGAAATATCATTGCTTTTTTGTGGAGGGAAGCCATGCGCAGCTTACTTCCGGGTTTTAGGATGCGTCACTGCAGCTCTCTCTCCTCCTCTTCACACACCACACTTTTCGCGGCACACGTACTTACAGCCAATCAGCTCTGAATTACGTGAGATGACGTATGGTGGGGATGGCAGCTCAGTGCCCCTATGGTCATTATTTTTTTGCCACACACATTAAATAGGACAATACTCTGAGCATGCGCAGTGTAGTTTTTACAGTCACCATTGACTTAGACAGTAAGAGGGAGGGGCAGGATCGGGTTTTGTCCCACATGGCTCTAAACAGCTCAATAGGCACACACTGTAGACACTAATTAGAAGAACACAGACTAAAACAGCAATGAGACGAATCAGATGATTAAACATGATCTTAAAATATATTTTATATATTTTTTAATTTATTTTTTGCATTTTTTTGTAATCATTACTTTTAATACTTTCTGCTGACACTAGGTGGGGCTGTGCCCCACCTGCCCCTAATGACCAGTCGCCACTGAGAGTGATCTGAAACCACTGATATTCTTACTGTGCAATGCCTTCGCCAAACGCGCCCAAAAGTCAAATCGCTAGTTAGGCCTAGTTGTATTTTTTCTTTTGTAAGAGATATGGCAGCCATGACAATGTGTTGCATTAATGCATTAATGTAACTAATTTGGAAATAACTTTAACGGACTATTTAACTCTCCTTTTGAATATGGGTCAGTCGGTTTTCGTCTCGGGGTTTCTAAAGGGAAGAATAGTGAGCAACTTTGAGGGACACTTCGGAAAGTTGGAATACAGTTTTCTATGGATTATGGAGACACTGAAGATCACTGTAACCATCTTCTCCATTGAAAATAGCCATATGTGCTGCTAGGTAAGCTAGATAACAGTATACACTTTTTTAAGACTGTTTGTTTAATACATTTAATCAGCTAATAAAAACAACTTCCGAATGGCTTTTTCAGTGACTTTTCAAGTGCATTTGAACAAAGCATGAACTGACTGTAGCTACTCGTGTTTGATAGTGGTGGGGGGTGGATGTCTTCTTGCTTGTTACTGCTATGAACCCTCAGATTTGTGTCATGTGAGAGAGCATGCAGTCATCTTCCTCTCAGTCACATCCTTTGGTCTGTTGCCATAACATGTAGCCTGGAGCACAGTCCTTACTGTGTGTGCATGCAGAGCTCAGCAGCCCCTTGCACTCTCTCACACACACAATGCAGTCTCTTCACTGCCACTCAGCAATGTGACTGTGATCTTCATCCTGAGGCTAAACATGTTTCTGCATAGCTAACTAAAAGGCCACAGGAAGATCCACATAATGGATACACTTCTCTTTCAAATCTAAAGACACACTTTTAGAAACACGCTTTTTTATGTGAATCACTCCCTATGTACTTTTAAGTCTTGATCTGTTGTTTATTGCATTGCAAGAATAGCTTTAAACAAGAATAGCGTTACATTTAGGCTAATTCCGTAAATTAAACAATGGACAAGTAAAAAGGAGCTTACAATGTCAACAAAAGCAAATAACAACCCAACCTTGCCATAAAACCTTGATGCTCCTAGATTCCTAACATTGCCCACAAAGATGTAGAACAGTCAGAGATGGTAAAAGGAGAGCTACTCCAGTATAACAGTATGGTAGAACATTTTGTCTCATGGTATCTCCCAACCCTAACTGCAACAAATTGTTACAGAAGAAACTGACCGTGCAAATTCCATTAAATGTTGTTCAAGTGTTCGTTGCCAGCCGAAAAAAATAAGCCTCATCATTATCTATGAGTGAGGGCAAAGACAAATGTCCTAAATCCTGCATTGATACCAATATATGTAATGAGAGATGTTTTTATTTTGTATTTATTACGCTGTTATTCCCTCTACAATCCTAACTGATGCATTCAGAAACTCAACTTTTATTGGTTTGTAGAACATTAGAACACGGAATTCATTTGATTCATCTGTGTATGTCGTTGTTGTTGTATGGGTTTATCAATGGTATTTTTTCTGTTGATATTATTATGTTATTTACTGTACTGTGCCATGTGCACTGTGTGAGTTCAAACTCAATGCTGGGAAGCTGTTGTTTATTTCATTAAGTATGCAGTTGTACAGTAAAATGAACGCAGGCTGTAGCTTTTCCCTTCCTGGGAGTATTAGTCAGACACATATTCTGCTGAGCATGCCTATTATACACAATGTGTCAGAGCACTGTGTATTCCTCATTAGGCTTCAGTCTTTGCCAGCAACAGGCCCAATAAGAAACACAGGTTGTATATGCGCTTGAAAAAAGCAGATTTGTGTAACATTTGAAACATTTCCATAATGCAAACAGGCTGTTAATAGGCGTGCATGATGTGGTAAAGTTGTGCTGTCTCCCTAGGTGGTATAAACTGGATTGTCAGAATTCTTCGCTCAGTATGCCATTTTCTGGCCCTCAGAACTTATAATGTATTTCGGTGTTTAACACTCATGCACTCACAGGTTTCACTATACCTTTAATACCTGCGCAGTTGACTCATCGCAAACCTTTTAAGGGCAAATCTTTCAAAACAAGCTCCCTCACATCGGACCTAATTTCAAAGCACATAGCTTTTGGTATGGATTTATAAGCAAATGAGTAGACGATTAAACAATTATCCAAAAAAAACACAAAATCTTTACTTTCAGCCCTAGACCAGTGTTATTCTCTGGACTCGAAACAAAAGGAAACATTATTGTCTCACTGATGTGATGTGTTTTTCTTTCTTTTTTGCCAGAGAATGCAACAAATTGTCAAGATTACACAAGCTCATCCTGTGCTGTTGCTCAGTCATTCCAACATATACTTTATTCTTTTTGAGCAAACAATACCTGAGGATCTACTGAAAAACGAGAATAAAAGCTTCCTGAAGCTGTTATGTGTCTTATTACCGAGAAATATTATATATCCCTGACAGCATACTGCTTATTTGCAGCATTTTTAAGTAATAGCAGCTGCAGCAGTGGGTTCAGGCAGGGGGAGTTCCTAACCTCAGGCCAGGGTAGGAAGACTGAGACAAAGACAAGATGGCTGGGCCTGTCTAAGATTACAGTGTCTGGACTTGCTTATATGGCACTGATATGATCTGTCCAGCACTCCTAATAGAGAGCGTCAAACACAGTGCAGGCTCATTTACATACATTTGAA